CTGAGAATCTGAACAGACATTGGAAAAGCAGGTGAATTCAGAAACCTCCGGTCACACTTAGGCCTTAAAATAATAATCCTTACTGAAACCGGGCCAACCCGCACTAAAGCCAACACCGAAATTATTATATCTGATATGGTCCTGGCCAGGACAAGCAGGAATAACAAGGAAGTTAGAGTTGCCATATACCCTGACAAGCAACCTAAATGCGTAGGTGCAACGTACCCACCACCTAATGAACTCCCAGACTCTATATGGTGTCATTTGACTGTAGGCCACACTAAGCATTTACTCAGTGGCACCTACCGATCATCAACGTGAGAAGCGAAGTACAACCATCTACCTCTTAGCACCATCACAGTGATACGCACACGAGCTATGACCAAATCACCATGGCTGGATGCTTTAATGCTCTATCCCTGAACAGTGGATCGGGGTATGCTCAGGTAAAATTCTATCGAAATCTACCACAAAACATCAGATGAAAGGAAATTCCGCACTAAGGTCAACTGAGTCCGATCATATAGGCGCAGCTCGTCATCAGGAGTCTCTCAGTGCTTCATCCTAGGGCCACCGATAATTTTGATATTTATCGATGACCTACTGCGCTGTCTAGACCGCATGACTCTTCTTTACGCTGATGAAGTACAGTTTTGGAGAACGACAAAGTGTTCGGAAAACTCAGTTAGGCTGCAGGCTGCAGCTTCTAAACGACTGGGCGGTGACCACTGATATGACGTTCAACCTGAAAATGTGCCGAATAGTGAAATTACACACCTGTAGGCTTCAGAATGCAAGTGGCACCTTGTGCAACGGAATCTTATCCTGCACAACGTCGGAGAGTGACCTAGGTCTAGTTCTAGCGGAAAAATGGACACAAGCGTGAATTGCGTGGGGGATGTTGCCAGGGCATATGCCGCCATACACTTTGCATATAGACAGTTAGGTGACCTCACTCTTGAGCTCTTTATGAGGTTGTACAAAACACACGTCAAGCCACATCCTGAAGTGCACAATATCAGTGCACACCTACTGCTTACGAGAGATGCGAACCTTTTAGAAAGAGTCCAAAGACGGGCTACAAAAGGAATGGTTGGTATCCGAAGCAAACTGTTTGATGAACAGCTAAAGAAATTAGGTCTCCTCACGTTTAGCTACAGTCAGCTAAGGGGGGACTTGATTACTGCCTGAGTTTAAAAATGACCAGAATCACCCAGTCAAAGGTGTTCTGCCATTAATTACGTATAGGCTTTCCCGTGGAAGGCCCCGAAGGGTGGCCCTGCTGAAGACAAGAACTTAGGTGCACTCCTTTTTTTCACTACGGGTTTGCTGTTCCTGGAACTCCTTACCGGCAGATGCAGTTGTGGAAGGCTAAACAGTCGCGCAGCGACACAAGGACTGCATCCAAACAGCCTATCGCTTCAAAATCTCATACACATTTAATGGGTAGACATCTAAGCTAATCTAATTTGTGGATAGTGACTAGCAGTGGAATTCAGGACAATGCGCATTTCGTACTATTTGGGACTCGCCATCACGTGCATTTCCCAGTGGGTGATGATGTTCCCAGTGAGGCTCGAACCCAGTGCTCATAGTTTCAAACGCCAAAGCACTATCCACTAGACCACTTGGGCCACGAGAGCCACCTCTTGTGCAACAAGGCATATTAATTTAATTAAATTTGAGATTTTCCCATCGGTCTCAGACATCATCGAAGCATTTGCACAAGAAGCTGACACGTCAATCTGAGACCAAGCACTTTAGTCAAATCAATCGATGGGAAAATCTAAAATTAAATTAATCGTCTTACTTCTTCACATTCTCTTTTGCTTACTCTCCTGACTACTCCAAACATTACGCCCTCATACTTTTGTTACTGATTTGATGTAAATATATATATATTTATCATCTGCGAATTTCATTAGCTGTCTGCTTTTACGTTTTCTCTATTTCTTTTTCTGTCTTTTAGTCTCCATAATCTAATTCCATATTAGTTTGATTATTAAATGTATCACACAGTGAAACAGTATTGTATACTGGTATACATCCAGTATACAATACTGTTTCACTGTGTGATACATTTAATAATCAAACTAATATGGAATTACTTAATACCACAGTGCCCAAGTTTTACACATATACTCCATAATCTACACTAAATACATCTGTTGCTTTTAGCGTCTCTTCTTTTTTTACCGACGCCGGAGGGCTAACTGGTGAAAGGATCAACTCGATTCACAGTAGCAACACTTTATTAACACCCCTTGTACTATAAATTACATATATTTAATCCCAGCACCACTCCTTATGAAGTCAACCAAAGCTACGACAAGTGAATGGCGAAATGAAATACGCAGTATTTTGCTGAGGACCAGGAACTTTCGCCTCACAAATAAGATGGGGTACAAAGAAATCAAACTGATTTACACCAGCTCGTGGAGACGATATTGGCTATTGAATATTGCGTCTCTTTCGAAACAGACGGTACGTCCACAGCCTTTTTGATTCCATGTATTTACACAAGAGTTTACACCAAATATACGAGTATCCATGGCCACTTTATCAAGCCTTGTTTCACACAAGTCAGCTTATTACATTAAAATACACCAACCTGCACAAAAAGTACCCGTAACCATTAATCTAAGGATGTGTAGTAAATATTATATATCCAAAGTGACTGTGGAAGTTTAATGAAGATTTGAGTGACACAAAGTGATTTAATCATTTGATCATCAGTAGTTTCTATGTTAGACTGTAGTGAACCGGGTTTTTTTTCTATGTACCTGCAGTTATATGCATATGCAATTATGTGATAGGTCTCACAGAGGGAAAGTACCATCACACCATAATTCAGCGGTATTTTATGTTAAACGCTAGAAAGAGGGATTGCGGCCAACACTAACGACCCTACTAAGTCAGTGGGATAATATTAACTACTAGGCTTACTGGACATGAACTACGTCCACACCACTATTAGGACATAATTTTTCATTTGCACTCCAACGCATGATTTGTGAAAAATGCAGTCCAATCAAGTTGCAGTTCGTCTACAGGGGCATTTTTCAAACTCACCAAAAGGCTCTAGCACAAACCAAATGTTAAGTAGCAGACACAATGGCTTTCATCACGCAAAGATCCTGGTCCTGTGAGCTTGTGACGTAATCAGACAAGCTATGTCACAAAACTTGTCTTGAAGAGTTGATTTTGTCATTACTGATGACGAATCGTTTTGCCTAAACGAAATATTCTCGTATATGACGTAAAGCTGATCAAATTTGGGTGTTTCATACAATCAGAAAGTCTATGGGAGAGAGATGGTTAATACCTCAGTTTTGGTGTCATTCTGAACAATTCAATGCTTTGTGAGACTGGGAGTATTTACGTGACGATGAACGTTATGATGAATGAAAGCTATCTCTCGTGGGATACATCTGCCATACTCTGAGTCACACCAGAGGTTTACATGGCACAGAAAAGGACCCAGAGATTCTGTTGATGGGTTCAGGAATGTACAAAAGACAAAATATAGGTGTTAAATGGCTTTTTAAACAAAACGGTGTATAGCCGCCTAGATGTTTATGTTTTCACAAACTGATTCCACCTCACTGTCTTTGAGCTTAAAGAAGTGACAGACGTGTTCGTGTCACTCCTTTATTCCGGGCAAAACTAAAAGGGGGTCTAGACTAACGCCTTACCCTGAACAATTTGTGACAATACTCGTATGTCAGAATCGCGATCGACAGTTATATGTAATAAATCTTTCATATCTTTTATTGAAAGTGGAAGACATGAAAAGGCTGGCTAGCTGTCTTTGATCATAAGTGCCTGTGATCTATCTCCCAAGTTAGGTGGTGAAATAAAATGAACTATATTGAGGTTAGATGTCAGTTAAGTGCTTGGTAAGGAGGGAAGGGAAATCAGTCGACGAGGTAGTGAAGTTACACCGATTGAGATGGTTAGGGCATGTGTTACGCACGCATTTCTAGCCATCCATCCCCTTAAATGACAATGGGCAATGTTAGCTGACTGACGTAGAATGGATCAGGTAGGAAAGAAGTTAGCTAGTGATGGTCAGAACGAAACATGGCTTCATTAGTCAATGAAATCCACAACAGTTAGTTTAAGCCAGCTAGCCACGTAGGGAGATATAGACTACTGTCTGGTTGGGGTCCTCGAGATGGTAAGAACCAATACCTTTGGCTAGAGACAATCGGTGATATGGCTCAAAATCGTTGTCAATGGATTTCCCAGATGCATCTACTCCCTGTGACTTCTAATATCCAATAAAACTATATTGTTCTTCGTTATTAGTATTCTTTTCGCCTCATATCTCTGTTTACTGTCTCTATTTTGCATTCCTTCTTACTTTCTTCCCTTGCGTTGTATGCTACATAGAGTGTGGCGACTTGAACTGCTGCACATCAGTGTAAAGTTCCACGTTGAAACAAATCAGTCAGTCAGCTATATGTAATCACGTGTCATGTATTTATATGTAAACACGCTTGCGTACATGCGATAGATACGCCTACATGTACACGCAAAGAGTTACTATTGATCAGAATACCATACGCACCTTTCCTAAAGACAATTAAATTCTACCCAGTTATTGTACTCAATACGAATATTTCTGCATTGAAATATAACCCAGAAACATACAGCAAGTAGTTTCGCCCACTTATAGCTTTAAGAAATTTTTTTTAAGATCCATTTTGATTGTTACAATGAAACTAAAGTGAGGTTATCCTAAATCTCTTCCAATAAAACGTGTTTCAGTAATAGACTGGTAGGGGAGTATAAGTTGACTTATATATAATGCAAGTGAATAGTCTTTATCTGTGGGAATTATTCTTTCAACCTGTAGTATTAAAAAGAAAACTTTTCTAAACCAACTAAGTATTCATTTCTTCTTGTGATTTAGATTGTATATAGTGAACAGTGAAGAGTGATCATTCTTTTTCCTCGATGACATTTCGTTTCTCTGACTTTCCAGTTAATTGAGAATGTCTACAAACAATGAAGTCAGCATGCGATCTAAACATTTAGAAAAACTCAGAGAACTTCATTTGAAAGTGGTAAGTTTTTTTAATGACTAGTGTCGTTTCGTTATTCTAACCAAATTATGTTATTATTATTATTCCACTTGAAGTTTACGTATTAATTCGTTAGCCTCTTCGAAATAACTTTAAATTTATAAGATATCAAAATTTGCATTCACATTAAACGTTTGCTCAATAATCGTTCATATTTCCATGCATCTGGCAATGAGCTCCACATATTGTGTGTGAGCACTGGGGATAATAATTATCTGCTCAAACCACAGTAGGTAGAGTGTAAGCTTCGGACCCGTAGTCCAGTGGTCAAAACTCACGTGCCTAGACCAATAAGTCATAACATTTCAGGCTTTGTCTGAATTTAATGTTGATTAACAGGTTTTAGCATTCTTAACTTTTAGTTTGAGATGGTCAGGAGGACTTTGTATGCTTTTGGAAGTGTGTGGGCAGTTGTTACTTCCCATCTGCCCACATTGTGCAAGTTGATTGATTTTTCGGGTACTTGGAACAGAAAGAGCATTAGTTAGTGTTGCGTGATCGCAGAGTTTAGAGGACAACTGTTTAAGGCTGACCAGTCACACACGACCTGTATAGACTGGTTTCTTGGATTAGTTCCGTATTAGTAACTTACCGCTGGTTACGGACCACCGTAGGATAAGTCGGGATGTACAATTTTTGGAGTCGACCTTTTCTAACCCTCTCTCTCTCTGGAGTGGAGAAACAGCATATCTGGCTGGCATGCTGGTCATCTGAGGGAAACACCTTACTGCTGTTACATCCCTATTCCCCATTAGTATGACTTTACCCCCAGACCTCCAGCATAGTGTTAAAAGAAAAGCCATAAAGGAGGACGTACTGGACTGCTGAGCAGTACAGCCGCCCTTTGGTCGATAGCCAACCGGATATCACGTCTACGCCAGAGACGGCGTAAACTAGCATATGTGAAACGAACCTTCTGTATCCGTGCTGAGATTTCGTTAGCGATCAACCCGTTGGCGTTTGCTGATGCAACTTCCCGAACAAGTGAAGCGGTCAACACGCTCTACCAACTAGTTCACTCCCTATTTCTAAGCTAGGAGTCAATATAGTCCAGTCCTGTAGTGTAGCATCATCTTACATTTGACTGACAGGAGTGAATCGCATGCCAAACATTCGCAGGTTGCAGCTCTTCAAGGTGTTCAGAAGACTCCACATTTTGTCAGCGTCTTCACCTACAATGATTATATATGATGTTTGTATTATCGAATGTGTTCATTTCATATATTCGAATTGAAAGTAAAAGTTAAGCAGTAGGTGATTAGTGTTAATCAACATTCTCATGTGTACTCAAGCATTGATCAACAACTATATACACGTAGCAATAAGCTACACTTATTATGAGAACTTAAAATACTATGTGCATCGGTGGTACAGCGGTCAAATGTTTGCCAGCCACGCTTCATTTGGTTCGGGGTTCGATTCCCGGCCGAGTGACGCACTCCTTTACCTCGATAAGCCAGTAATAAGACTGGTAAAGGGGGAAGGTTAGGTATGAGGCTAGCAACCCTATCCCGTGAAAATAAACACCCCTGCTACCGAAACTTCCAAAGAGCCTCCAATGTTCTACTGGGAACGTAAAGGAATAAAGAATAATAATAATGCTATAATGAAGGAAAGACTAGTTTAGATTAGATGCAATGTTTATTAAAATCAAATCAAAATGAACATTGATCGAATAAATAGGCTTCGTATTCGTCCTGCTATCAGTAAATATATTATCAACCATTCCGTACTAATACTGCTTTTGCCCTCGATCAGACCGAAGGTACCCATTGAGTCACCGGGTCTTGTTTCTTCCTTATTTAAATGTCTTCAGAATTGCAGTTCACTCTCTCTGTCCGATTTTTATCCTACTGTCTGTATGTTTTCGACACAGGACTTTGCACCGATGTGTGGCAGTTCAAGTCGCCACACTCCCTCCATGTAGCACACAAAGCAACAGAAGAAAGTAGAAGAAATGCATATTAGAGATAGTAAACAGAGGTATGAGACAAAGGAATAGTAATAACGAAGAACCTTATAGTTTCATTGGAAATCATAAGTCACAAGGAGTGGATGTATATGCGCCAGCCAGCCATCGAGAACGATTTTGAGCCAGCCATGTCACCAATAGTTTCCAGCCATTGGGTTTGGCCGTCCCAACCGATAGCTCCTACCTTGACGTGGTGGTCGGGCTTGCACATTGCGATGACCCAACAAGCTGCACTGACTGGAACCAATGTTCCTGCAGGCCCTCCCGTGCCAGGAAGGTTGTTAGGATAGCGATTAAACTGAAGGCAGTTACCGGCATTGTGTAAGAATCTTTCTCACTCTATGCCTGGGGTTTCAGGGCAAAGTCGTACTGCTGGAGAACAGGGGTGTGTAAGAGCAGTAAGGTATCTCCTCCAGATGACCAGCACACCACCCAGCTATGTTGTTTCTCCACTCTGGAGAGAGGGGGTTAAGGAATGTCAACCACAAAAACTGTACACGACGACTTACCCTAAGGTGGTGGTCCGTAACCGGCGGTAAGTTACTAATACAGAACCAATCCAAGAAACCAGTTCATACAGGCCGTGTGTGACTGGTCAGCCTCAAGTAGTAGTTGTCCCCTGGGCTCTGCGGTCACGCAACACTTTCTGTTTGTGTGTGACTTGAACCCATAACCTACTGGTTCGAAGTTGATAGTCAAACCAACTGAGTAACAGTACATCATAGCGTTGCATTCACCTTGCATAAATTTGTTTTTCGCCTACCTACCAAATTCAATTACACTTAAAAATGATCTCGCTATGTCGAAGTCTGCAGTTCAAGAGTAAAAAAAATACATGAAGACATCTTAAAAACGAAGGGTACAATAAAATATTTAACACTGGGGTTAAAATGATGGGATTTTATGAATATTGTTGGCGTAAGTAAGCTGTGAGGTTCGAATAAATTCACACGTAATATATTAAATACAACTAGTAGATGCTTGCATCATGACTGAGTCTTCAACACACAACTTTACACAGAAAAATGTGACAGTTTATGTAACCAGACTCCATGTGTACTAAACTTCAAGTCACCGGGTTTTTAGCGTCTCAACACTCAGAGACTTCGTGTATTGATCCTAGGTTTTGATTTGGCCACCTGCCCTAGTTCTTTTCTAACCTGATTCTATATCAACTCATATTGCTGGACAATGAAGCTGGATCTTTGCACTTTACACTTGTTTGTTATTGAGCATTTATATAAACTCTACAGTACTGTAGTATTTGGATATTTCATAATTGAACAAAGTGTAGAATGGCAGTCAAACGTCTGTCTCTACTTCAATTTCATCGACTTCGAAAAGGCTTTCACGAGACAGTGTTGGCTGAGAAGAAGAATTTGGAAACTGCTTCAACACTACGGCGTGAAGTGCCCAAGTCTTTATCAACCCCATTCAACAGCTGTCTGGCTATATGACAATGTCATGTGTCAGGTGATCCACAATGGAAAACTCAGCCAGGTGTTCAAAGTGAATACAGGAGTAAGACAAGCCTGCCCGTTTATTATCACCTATGATATTTTTAATTGTAGTGGACTGAATTATGCGACTGACTGTTGAGGGAGAGGAAACAGGAATACACTGGACGACCGATGAGGAGACTCTAGAAGATCTGGATTTCGCAGATGATATATTTCTAATGTCACTTAAACTCGAAAACTTGCAGGCAGGCGAAAACTAACAAACTGGCTGTGAAGACTCCGGCAGCGAAAACAGGACTGCAGGTGAACATAGAGAAGACGGACGGAGGTGATGAAGATAACTAACCCATCGATAGCAATAACAACCAGCAACAATGACCATGAACAGGAGAGACTTAACAGAGGTTGCCTCCTTCACTTGTCTGAGGATAATCGTTTCAACTACAGGCGGAACGGACGAAGATTTCAAGGGCAATTAGCCAGAATCGGAAAGGAAAGATACGCCTTCATCAACCTGAAACCCGTTTGGAAATCTTCTGCATTGACTCAACATAAGGAACAAGATGCTCATTTTTAATACCAGTGTCAAGTTGGTCCTTCTATACGAATCAGGAACTTGACCAGCGTGTCACGGAAAGGATTTCCATCAGCTCACTGGAGGCTTTTATCAATAGCTTCCATGTTCGCTGGCTGGCTCCATACTGAAGATCAAACCAAGAGCCGATCGCTGAACAAATATGTAGGAGAAGACGGAGATGGATAGGGCATGCATTGAGGAAACCATCGAATGACATCGCGCGCCAGGCCATCGCTGGAGTAGAATCCAATTGGGAAGCGATGAGTGGTTCGTTGATGCTAGGGTGACACGTAGGCGATCATGCATGTCAGAAGAGATGAGAACTTATGGGCAATCGTGGACCCAGGTGAAGAGAATGGCAGAATATAGAAGAAAGTCGATATGTGTTGTTGAAGGTCCGTGCTCCACTCGGAGCCCAAGATAATAATAATAATGATAATAACTACTGAATTTTTATTTTTTCTTAGAATGAAGCTCGAAAATCGAATCATCTTGAAGTTGTCGAAGAAGATAGACGATCGAAACTTCCATCCAATTGGGAAACACGTCAACGACGACTACAATGGGAAGAAGAGGATGAAGTCTTTAAAATAGAATGTGCTAAAAAGAATATTGATCCGGACAGAGAACGTGCACTGGATGTTAGCGCTGATATAGCTGATCGTCTTGAAGCAAGACGTAGAAAAAAGAAAAATACTGATGAAGGTTTTTCAACTTATGCTGATGCATCACATCGTAAATACCTCAAGATGACAAAACAGCTTAAACCAGATTTAGCAGCTTATCAAAAAGAAAAGGAGAAATTGTAAGTAAAATGGAAGTGTTTCTTTTTTCTTTCACGGCTTTATAGTTATTCATGTTTATTGAAATGAATTTTAGATTTCCCCCCTCGATTGGTTGAACCGAATAAAATAAATTAATATGACCCGTTGCACAAGATGTGGCTCTCGTGGCCCAAGTGGTCTGGTGGATAACGCTTTAGCGATTGAAACTGCGGGTACTGAGTTCGAGTCCCGGCGGGAACATCATCATCCACTGGGAAGTGCAGGTACATCCAGTTGACGATTCCTGGATTCCACTGCTAGTCACTACCCACTAATTAAATTCATTATGTTTATTATTATTCTTATTATTTTCTAGAGTTCCGAGTGAAACATAGCTTCAACAGGAACACATCTCCATGACTCAAACTACCGACCTCCAATCCTGATTTTTTTACAACTCCTAGGACCCTATTGCTTACAACCGGACATGGCAGAACATCGGGGAGAGGGGTGTGGCTAGAAAACCCTGAATCCAAACCTAACCTATATATGGTGTACCTGATGAGTACCAGAATCCGAAAAGGTCGAATGGTGTGTGTAGGCACCTGTTTTGATCTCACTGGAAACCATGGAAACGTAGCTGTTGCTGACGGTGGTCCACTGCCTTGTGTTAGAATCAGACGACGTGAAGTCAAAGGCTCCGAGGTGGTGGTGGTGCCTTAAGACAACCACTTGCTTCCCTTTGGGCCTCTTGGCAGTATCTTGGATGCATTTTTGATCCCCTTTATATAACCAAGTTTGTCTTTTACTGAATAATGGTAATATTAGTGATAATAGGTGGTGGGGTTAAATAATTTTGAGAGGAAAGAACAAGAAGTTCAAAAAAGATGGCGATCTTTTCGTCGATTTCATTCTCAAAAGCAGCTGTACAATCAGTCGCATTTCTATACCTAAGTTTACATGAATACAATTCTTATTTGTCTAATTCTACATAGTAACGAAGGAGATAATAATTTTCAACTTGATATGAAAGTTTGAAGGTACGAATATAGATTACAAGGGGTTTAGAGAGAAGATTGCATAGAATTAGAAAACAGTTACAACGTATGCAAAGTTAATATTTGATAACTGGAGAAACAACGTACGTCGGTGGTAAAGCGGTTAAGACGCTTGCCGACCATGCACATGGTCCGCGGCTCGATCCCCGACCGACGCACTCCTTTACCTCGTCAAACCAGAAATAATGCTGGTAAAGAGCAAAGGTTGGGCGTGGGGCTAGCAACCCCATCCTGTAAAAATGAACACTGCTACAGAAACCCCAAGCCACTAGCTTGAGGCCCTGTGTTTCACTGGGAACGTGAAGGGAAAAAAATGGAGAAACAACTACCGTGCACCTAGCTCGGTATGTTCCCTTATCCATCAGTTTTTTTTGCTTTGTTCCTTCTGTGTGTAATTTTCTTTCTTTGTCTTCATTCTACTCATTCCATTCTTTTTTCAGTTATAAAATCAGTCTTATTTTAAGTTTGTTTCCATGCTCATCCTCCTGATCACATTTGTAATACGTTTAGAATAAGCATTCTACAATTATATTGTAATCCTGTGTAATACTTTTTTGTTTCTATGCCTCTTGTAATCTACATTCATACCTCTTCCTAACTTACATTTCAAGTTGAAAAAATTTCGATTTCAATTTGTTTCCATGCTCATTTTGTTTATCCACACCTGTAATTCGTTCTATCCCTGCGTCTCTAAGCCTCTTGTAATTCATATCAAGTTGAAAATAATTATCACCTTTTATTCGCCTTAAAAATTATTTCTCCTGGTATCAAATATTAATTTTGCATACGTTGTATCTGTTTTCTAATCCTATGCAATCTTCTCTCTAAACCCCTTGTAATCATCTATATTCGTACCTTCAAACTTTTATATCAAGTTGAAAATTATTATCTCCTTCGTTACTATGTGGAATTAAATAAATAATAATTGTATGCATGTAAACTAATGTATATAAGCACGATTGTACAGCTGTTTTTGAGAATGAAATCGACGAAAAGATCGTCATCTTTTCTGAACTTCTTGTTCTTTTCCCTCTAATGTCCCGATGTATATTTTCCACGATTTAAATAATTTTCATACATTTATTCTCCTTAATGAATTTGAATAAAGCGACAACTACAGTTTTTACAGAATAAAGTGGTACCACGATCGTTTTCATCAGCTGCTTACAGGCTACAATCATTACTAAGTATATATTTACGAAAACAATTTTAACATACTTGAACAGAGTTCATTTCAAACAAAAATCAATCAATCACTATATATAATATTAAACACTACGATTTTCCGAACATGTACCGAAAAGTCTATGTCTAAAGGCAATAAATGCTTTAAACAGTGCCATCGCCAGGCATCTGCTTGACACGAGTCATGAGATGGACGTCGCAAGATCTTTGAAAATTATCAATAGGCACATTTATTGATTGGTTGATTTTGTTTAAAAATGAACTCTGTGAAAGTATGCTAAAATTGTTTCTGTAGGTATACTTAATAATCGCATGTAGGATTTCAACATGAGCTGACATCAGTTAGAGAACCACCGGAAAACCTAGATGTACTGGACAGCTGTGTCGTCCTAGTTTGGGACTCTTCATCAATACGCACCCACCGCCAGAGTTGGAACCCATGACTTTCTGGTTACAGGGCGAGCTCGTAGACCACTGGGACCCGATCCAGTGGTTCTTGAATTCTAACTTCTGCCAATTCACGACATAGCGCGACCATTTCACAATGTCTTCCTTTGCCTCATCTTCGACTTAATAATGACTTTAGCCTGTAAGCGGCTGATGAGGCAGCGAAATAAATGATTGTACCACTTTATTCTGCACAAATCATTGTTGTTCTCGCTTTATTCAAATTAAATAATTTTCACATGGTGTATACGGATAAATTCAGTAGCTTTACAAAACCTGTCACTAATCTAAATTCCTTATCATTCAACTTCTTCAGCGAATATCCTATCACTATTTTTTTCTTGTCTTTTCAGAGGAGAATTAGCCTTTCCAACTGCTGATACAATCGGATTGACAGATCGTAAAGATCCACCGGAGGCGGTGGAACGTTTAGCGAAACAAATTATTGAACAAGGTGCTAAACGTCCAGCCTACAGTCGAAGACGTCCATTCGATGCCGATGCGGATATTGACTATATTAATGAACGTAATAAACGGTATAATGAATTATTGGAAAGACACTACGGTAAATACACGGCTGAAATTAAACAAAATCTTGAAAGAGGCACTGCTATATAGACAATACTCTGTGAGGGGTTGGAACAAGCTAACCTATAATAATACCATCTATCTATCTATGTACAGTACCTTTATTTTATTTAATAAAATAACTTTTTTTCACGCCAATGTTCTCCTTTTTTCTAAAAATCTAGTCATGCATTTCAAAAGGTATACAAATATCGTGAATTGACAGAAGTTAGAATTCATGGACTGGCCACTGGATCGGGTCCCAGTGGCTTAATGGTTTACGAGCTCGCTAGCCTTGTAACCAGAGGGTCCTGGGTTTTCCTCCAATGGTTTTCTAACCATTGTCAGCTCATGATGAAATCCTGCAACCAAATATCGAAGTGTTGGCCCATAGGAATTTGATTTCTGTACTTCATCACTAGCCTAGCTGATATCGGTTAGAGAACCGTTGGAAAACCTAGGAGCACTGAACAGCTAGCTGTTTCGTCAGATTAGTTATGGTCTCTGCTTCAGCTAGGCATCGAACCCCAGACCTTCCTGTTACAAGGTGAACTTGTGGACCCTTAAGCCGCTGGGACTTAATCGCCCGCCAAATCGGGCATGAGGACAAATACCCGCTGATGACATCGACTGCTTATCTTGTGACCAGGATGTCCTGTCCTCTAACCCTTGTGCCTGAAGAGCCCAGGACCGGGACAAAACAATTCTCCAGTACTCTTTCGTTTCCGATAGTTCCCTAATGGCATCAGTCCGTCGTTAAATTCGTGAAAACTAATCTGATGTTCTCTAGTTACGACTAGCTACAGGATGAAGTTGACTGGAGTACTTACTAGTGAGAAGTAGTGACCAGTGGGGTCCACCTGATCCGGACTGAGGACAAACACTCTCCAATGATACAAACTAGCTGGTGGTGGTAGCAACACCAACTATCACGAATTGATAGAAGTTGGAATTCATGGGCCATTAGCCCCTGGATTCGAGCCCTGGTAGGCGAATGTGCATAGCTATAGCAGACAGAGTCATATACTAAAACGAAACAACTATCCAATACTATTCCCTAATACTTTTCAATTGTTCTCCAGGCTAACACCGATCCGTGAATAAACTTGAAACTAATAGCCGAGTTTAGGACTAAGATATCTGACGACGATATTTCTATTTATCTTGTCTCCGTCTGTTTTCAACAGAGATCTTTCCACCGTTGTGCAGCAGTTCCAGTTGCCACTCTCCCTCCATGTAGCACACAAAGCAAGAGAAGAAATGCCGAATAGAGACAGTAAATAGAGATATGAGGCAATAATAATAATATTGAAGAGCAATATAGTTTCATTGGATATTATGTCACAAAGAGTGGATGCATATGCGTCAGCCATCGAGAACGGTCTTTGGCCAGCCATGTCACCAATTGTATCCCACCCCGAGGTTCCTAACCAGGAAGCCAGTCTACTCCTTCCTACGTGGTTGGCTTACGCTAACTGATGTGGATTTCATTGACGAGCCAGGTTTCGGCTTGACCGCCACTAGCTCTTTCCAGCCTGACCCATCCTACGTCAGCCAACATTGCCCGTCGAAGAAGGCGACGACTAAGCATACGTAACATTTGTCTTAACCATCTCAATCGGTGTAACTTCACAACGTCGTCAATTGATTTCCCCTCCCTCTGTACCTAGCACTCAACGCCCCAGCTCAATATCGCTTACCCTGTTACACCACTTCACATGGGAGATAGGACGCAAACACCTATGATCAAAGACAGCTAGCCAGCCTTTTCATGTCCTCCACTCTCAATGCCAACGCCTCACAGCCAGGCATAAAAGAGGACGGAGCGGACTGCTGAGCAGTACACCTGCCATTTAGTCGATAGCCAACCGGATATCACGTCTACGCTAGAGACGGCGTAAACTGGCACATGCGAAACGACCCTTCTGTATCCATGCTGAGATTTTGTCAGCGATCAACCCGTTGGCGTTGATTGATAAAACTTACCGAATAAGTGAAGTGGTCAACACTCTCCACCAACCACTTCACTCCCTCCCTATTTCTAAGCTAGGCAGTCAATGTAGTCCAGTCCTGCGAATACCGAAACACCTGCTGCCATTATTAATCCTATAATATAACTTTTTTTTCAATATATTTGTCGAGTTAATTAGATACAATAATATTGGACTAAATGAGTAAAATTCGACACACACACTGTGTATCACACAAACACTGTTTTGGAATATAAAGCAAGCCATTATATAATATAAATGTATTTTCTTTAATTAATTAGATAAATTAGATACGTACAGAAGAGAAGAAAAAAGCCGTCAGCATCATCACCATGGTCGTCATCAGCCGCATCATTTCCGCCTCTTTTTATTCCCTGTCCGTGGTCTAGATATATGCGCATTCCCTCTGGTCGGCTTTAATCCATGCTCCGGACGACTGCCTTGTAGAAATGCTCTACTCGGTATTTGATGATCTGATCGAATCCCGTGTAGGGCAGACCGGCTAGTGGTATCATTCAACGGGAATACTGCTGTCGAGGCGTTGTTCAAATCACACTGAAATTCTAATACCTTTGACAATTCATCATCTTCAAGTCCTAAGAGACCATTTGTAGCAACAGGGAGAACTTTTGCATTTTTAGGACGAGCTGGTCGACGATCAGGTAGACGTTGATCTGCACAATAGATTGGTTCATCGGCATGTTTTCCACCCTTAGGAATTCGTATAGGTTGCTGTAAAGAAAAGAAAAAACATAGGATTAGTAATATATGTGTAAAACTTGGGCACTGTGGTAGTGAGTAATGCCATATTAGAAAACAGAAAGATTGAGCGAAGAAATATTTACTTTTCGATTAGATCCTCATCTTTGGCTCTACTCTAATATATATATAATAGCATTTTAATTACAATACAACAGTTTGCCAATCAAGTGGCGATAAGTTTGTTAACAATAATTAAGCAGTGTCAATGGGTTAATAGTTAACGAAGAAAATCAATACAGACAATTAAAAGGTAGAAATGGATAGAATAAATTAATTTTACAAGAATAACACGTAAAATAAATAATTTAGACAAATATTAGTTTGTTTATTAGATGTATCACACAGTGAGTGATACAGCATTATTTCCTGGATGACAATGTTTTGAACAAAATTAATTGCTGTTCATAATCATAACATCAATTATAATCACACGACTTCAAAACTTGAGTTTTATAGTTTTCTCTTATTTGTCGTAGGGTAGTAGAATTTTCCACATATCCACCTGGACAGGGGTGGTGAATCATTCCTATTACACGTATTCTCCTCAGTTGATTCGATAAACAAAGCTTCAGTCAGTTATCAATCTCTCCCTCCACCCTGTGACATTAGATTTTAAAACTGTCATCCAATCCCATTCAGCCTATTGTATGGTTGTGTGTAATTGCATGTAGTGTGGTGTTATAGCTGAATTATTCTCTAGATTTCTTGCCTTATTCGGGTCAACCAATCTAGATTTTGCTGCTAGGTTTTTATGTTCGGCTAGTCTGAATGCCCCTGTTCTACTAGTTTGACCTACGTATTTGACCTGACACAAAGTAATTCCAGCTGCGTATTAAATAAACTAAATTGTTTTGTTTTAAAGGCTCCATAGGACTTATTCTTTAACCGACAAAGCTTGTTTCTAATTGAGTCTGTGGGTTTGAATACCAGCCACTTTTATTCCTGCTTTGTTAAGAATTCTGCGTAAGGTGGTTGGTTTCCGAGGTTCCCTGCTTGTACAGAATTACTACTGGTGATTTAGATTCTTCATTGTCGGTGTTGTCATTATCCTGAGCATGTTAGACATGCATGTCGTCATTATTATTATTATCATTATCACTTAGTCAGGTAGTGATACACATAAAAGAAGCCTTGAAACTTAATAATTACCCTGATAAATTAGTCAGAAAGTATGTAGGGAAATGTAAAAAACAAAATAAATAACGATAGTAGTGATAGTGACTTACTTTTAAACCGCGTAATCTAGGCTTAAATTTTCTTGCAAAGTGGAATTCTAACTGGCCGTCTTCGTGTAGAGTCACTGGGATCCGACGCATGCTGGCATGTCCACACCATGGACAGAAATAAGTGTCTGTGCGTTTTGTAGGCCTATAATAATAATAATCAAGTAAGCATATATTATAATGTAGATGTTAGGTAATTTAGTGGTAGAGTAGTAGTACTCGTTAACCACACCACCGCCATATGTGGTCCGGGACTCGAGCCTCGGTTGACACTTAGCCAACCGCGGCAATAAACCCAACAAAAAGAGAGAAGGTTGGGCGTGAGGCTAACAATCTCATCTCGTAGACGAATGAACGCCACACAGTGGTGTAATGAAACTTTAAAACCCTTCCTTTGTTCTCCACTGGGAAGGCACACGAATACACCAGTTAATAATAAATGTATTTACTCCACCCGGTGTTACTTTGTTTATTCAGACATAAACCTTGATACATAATGGGTTCCTGAGAGATATATCACAGAAAACCTCTTAGTTGGAGTGATACTTGGAGTATTACGCGGACGCTCAGAGATCGAAACAGTTGGCGGATTTAATGCCCATCATCTCTCCAAAGAGCCGTTGACTTGTCTGCCCCACAAGGTAGCGGATGTGAGTAAGAAGCTACATTCTCAGAATTTTCCTGCTACCCTCTCTAAGTAGATCCGTAAGTAGTCCATGAGTCTAGTTTTAAGCGGCAGACTTATGTTCGTCGTCTCACTTTTGTGACGAACGTGCTGTCATGTGTAGATAGCAAATAAAACTTACCCAGTGGTAGAGGCTATTAACGGCCGCGGCCACATGAGAGTATTTCACCTACTACCCTCGGCTGTACCAGGTCATTGGTATTAGATGGTTACAGGCAGTCGACAAGAAGTCTTCGATCTAGATTTCGAGCTTGTTGGCACTGGTGTCACACCAAGGCGTCACACCATAATCTTGAAGCAATTTATTTCCTTTTTGAGATTCAAATCCGAGTCACTACTCAGTGCTGTAGCAGTCAAAGAAGTTATCACTGTCCTATTCAGGCCTTCATCGAATTTCAACAATTTTGAGTGCACCTAGCTTGATGATGGCGGGCGACCTAGCACTTAATGACCATATATGGAGCAAAACTTGACTGATAGAATTCAATCTGCAGTAAATTAAGGGACTGGACGCATGACCACTAGTTAGTTTGTGTCCAATCAAACCTCCCACATCATTATGAGACACCTACAAGCACTCTATGGATACATCATAGCTAACAGCATATACAACGAGTTTAATTTTAACAATTACTCATTGAGTGATCAAAAATTTTAAGTCTATCTGTCTGTTTTCGACATAGAACTTTGCACAAATGTGCGGAAGTTCAAGTCGCCACATTCCGTGTAGCACGCGAAGCAAGAGAAGAAAGTACAAGAAAAGCATAATAGAGACAGTGAGCAGATGTGTGAGACAAAGGAGTAATAAAGAAATACAAAACAGTTTCATTGAAGATCATAAGTCACAGGGAGTGGATGCATCTGCGCTAGCCACTGAGAACGATTTTCAGCCATGTCACCAATTGTTTCCAACCATAGATTTTTACCGTCCCGAGGACCCCAACCAGGAAGCCAGTCTACACCTTCCTACGTGGCTTAGACCAACTGTTGTGGATTTCATTGACTGATGCCAAGTTTTTGTTTGACCACCGCTAGCTTTTTTCCAGCCTGACCCTATATCCGCTAACCTAGCTCGTCGAGAGAGGCGATGGCTTGGCATACGTAACACATGTCCTAACCATCTCAGTCTTTGTAGCTTCACGACTTCGTCGATTGATTTCCCCTGTTTACCTAGAACTCTACGCCTAACCTCCATGTTGCTCACCTTATTATGCCACTTTACACGGGAAATAGAACGCAGGCACCTATGATCAAAGACAGCTAGTCTTTTCATGTCTTCCACTCTCAGTGACCAGGTCTCACAACCATAAAGGAGGACGGAGCGGACTGATGAGCAGTACACCCGCCCTTTGGTCGATAGTCGAACATCTCGTCTACGCCAGAGTCGGCGTAAACTGGTAAATGCGTAACGAGCCCCCTGTATTCGTGCTGAGATTTCATCAGAGATCAACCCGTTGGCACTGGCTGATGGTACTTCCCAAATAAGTGAAGCGGTCAACGTGCTCTACCACTTCACTTCCTATTTTTAAACTAGGCGTCGATGTAGTCCAGTCCTGTAACATCATCTTGCATTTGGCGGGAGCGAATCGCATGCCAAACATTCGTAGATTGCGGCTCAAGGTGTTTAGAAGACTCTGCATTTTGTCAGCGTCTTCGCCTAGAACGACTATATCGTCTGCATATTCCAAGTCAACGAGATTATTCCCCGGTAGCAAGTCAATCCCTGAGTCGCTGAAGTCACCTAGGGTTAAGTCCATTAACACATCTATGATGAAGTTGAATAGAAAAGGGGATTATGGGCATCCTTGACGGACACCACTAGTCGTCACCAGTTCAGATGACAGCTCGCCGTAAGCCCTCACCTGGCTGTATGAGTACGAGTAGAGTGCCTTAATCAGTGCAATATATTTTCTCGGAATTCCCTTTACAGCCAAGCATCTCCAGAGAACTTCCCGATCGACAGAGTCGAATGCTGCCTTTAGGTCAAAAAATATAATGACTGTTGGACGCCGGTAGGAATTCCTATGTCCTAGAATCTGTCGGAGGGTGAAGATATGATCAATACACCCTCTTCCTGGTCTAAAGCCTGCCTGGCTCTCTCGTGTTACTATATTAGTCAAGCTAATCCCTCTGTGATTATCACAGGAAGACTTGTCTCCCTTCTTGTATATGGGGATAATCAGTGAATTACACCAACCCGATGGGACTTCTTCTGATTCCCAGACGCTGCCTAGTACCTCAGTTAATCGAGACAGTTTTAAGACAGTATACAATTCAGTTCTAGCAAGTAGTAGTAGTGTAACGACAGAAGACAAGGCCAGTCAGGTAACATATCTTTTATTGAGAAAATCAACACATACTTATAGATTTTTGTGTACATTATTATTAGGGTTATTGCTAGCAGAAAAGCAATGTCTTCTGATTGGTTGTTTTCCTGCTGAAGGTTATTCGATCATCTCTTTGTTGCCGTCTCTCAGATAGTTCGGTTGATCTCTGCCGAAATCTCAGTACGGATACAAGGGGGGGTTAGTTTCACATACGCCAGTTTACTCCGTCTCTGGCTTAGTAGACGTGATATCCGGTTGGCTATCGACCTAAGAGCGGGTGTACTGCTCATCAGTCCGCTCCGTCCTCCTTTATGGCTGCCTGTGAGACGTGGCCATTGAGAGTGGAAGACATGAAAAGGCTGCTGGCTGTCTTTGATCATAGGTGCCTGCGTTCTATCTCCCAGGTGAAGTGGTATAATAAGGTGAGCAATATTTGAGGTTAGGCGTCGTGTGATAGGTAAGGAGGGAAGAGAAATCAATCGACGAGGCTGTGAAATTACATCGACTGAGGTGGTTGGGATATGTGTTACGTATGCCAAGTTATCACATTCCTCGACAACGGGCAACATTAGCTGACATAAGGTCAGGTTGGATAAGAGCTAGCCAGTGATAGTGAAACCAAAACATGGCTTCATCAACCAAGGAAATCTACAACAGTTAGTTTAAGCCGGCCACGTAGGGAGGCGTAAACTTCCTGGTTGGGGTCCTCTGGAAGGTAAAAACCAATGGAGGCTGGAAACAATTGGTGACATTGCTCAAAATCGTTCTCAATGCCTAGCGAAGATACATCCACTCCTGGTGACTAATGATTTCAAATGAAACTGTTTCGTTCTTCGTTATTACTATTCCTTTGTCTCACACCTCTGTTTACTGTCTCTATTATGCATTTCTTCTACTTTCTTCTCTTGCTTTGTTTGCTAGAAGGAGGGAGTGTGACAGCTGCTGCACATTGGTGCAAAGTTCTATGTCGAAAACAGATAGACAGGTAGTCCGGTGATATATTTGCGAATCGTATTTGTACACGTTAAGTCAGCTGTGACTGGGTTGTTGTGTTCCTCAAGGTTAGGCTTTGTTCTTGTTCTTCTCTCTTGACCGAGGCTCGGGACGTAGACACTGACATAAATAGCTGTCTACCAATTTTGGCTAGCGCTCACCACGGTAGTAGTAGTCGTACTCTTCTTCTCTGAGTTCTCAGTGGAGCATAGGGCTCCAGCAGCCCACACATTTATTTCATCCTCGAGTTTTCGGTTGCACAACATGAATATCATCTATCTTCAAAGCTAATTAAACTACATGAATTCCTTCATGTATTCTTGAATTAAAATTTCCCTAAACTCTATGCAGTTAACAATAAAGCTCCCATAAAAGACGTAGTGAGACTAAGTGTGGATAGACGTTGGACTTCTTCTCAAGACGCTGTCATGCAGCCAGGGCGTACACTGCACAGTCTTTACCAGGTAAGCCCTATTCACAGCCTTTGCGCGGTAGCAGCAGTGTTCCTCACAAAAGTGAAAGGGAGAATGTAGAAATTTGACTGATGGACATTCGGGTCCACCTCAGGGGCAAGTTAAAGTTTGAGCACCACTAACTACTAATGGAGTGTGATCGCACCAATGACCTTGAGGCGTTCACTGAGCAAGTTAGTGAAACCTGGCAAATAATGTTGTCATCATCAATAAAATATGCTCATCTAAGTGTAATGCTATCAAATGGGATATCTGGAAAGTTTCAGATTACGTTTGGGAAAGATTAAGTTACACTTTAAGCCAAGGACAAGTTACGGTTAGGTTAACCTAATAAAGACGATATTAGGGTTGGTTTGAGTTAGGTTATAGCTGGTTTAAAGATATTTTTATGTTAGAGTTAGGTTCGGGAAAGATTAGGGTTATTGTTAGGGTTAGAAGACCTAAAGAATAACATGCATAGAATGTGGTTAAATTACTCTGTTGATGATATGAGAATAGAACTTGTGCAATGTAGTAGAGTATGATTCCATTATGGGTAAAATGTATTTTGATAAAGTCTCACAGTGTTATACAGTAATATTTACTGATGACAACGTTTCGAGCACAATTTATTGCTCAGTAAATATTATTGTATAACACGATATGAGACTTTATCAAAATAAATTTTACCCACAATGGATCTACACTCTGTCGATACTCCCACCTAAAACTGAGAACTATTTTTATCACATATGAGAGCAAGGTATCCTCTGTAACACTTTTCTACAGCTTTTATTCATTATTTCATAAATATATGTATTTCACACACAAAAATGCCTCCTTCACGAGATTGGTGTGTTCAAGGTCATTCGCTGATTGGTAGTTAGTTAAGGGTGCTTAAAGTTTAACTTCACTTACCTCCGGGGACTCGGACACCCTGATTCCATAAACTATGTGGTTTATGTATATGGGCTAGCTCCAGAATCTGAAAGTAATGAATGATGTATGAATCTGTGTTTCGAGCATCACCAGTATCACAGACGCATCTCCTGACACTGATCTCCACTGATATATGGTGGATCAGACTGTAAATCCAAGGATTGGTCGGGGAAAAAGTGGCCGCCGAATAAGACAACTACTACCAACCTGTCTCGATCTGGACGTCCCAGCAGTAACACCCTAATCCCGGTGTTGTGAACTTTTCTTATAATACGTATCTAGTCATATTCATATCTCTACCGCTATTAACACTCTTTTTTTCCTTTATATGTTTAAGCCATTCCGGCTTCATTGTAAAATGAATAAAGCCTAAATTCTTGGTTCATTCGTCTTTTCAAGATTCAAGCATCACTCATCGTTCTAAGACTCAATCACCTTCGTAACAATTTATTCATTTTACAATATTCATGGAACGATTTTTCCGACCTGATCGGTTCGACGTAGAACCTAACGCAGTTGGAGCTGCCAAGAAGTGGGATCACTGGTTTGCGACTTTCTCCTACTTCATTGAATCAATGGGATCCGAAAATCCTTCGAAACTACATATTCTCTTCAATCATATTTCTACTTCTGTATACGAATGCATTTCTGAATGCAAAACATACGAAGAAGCTATCGACACTCTCAAGAGTCTCTACATGCAGCCTTGCAACGAAGTGTTTGCTCGACACTTGTTAGCAACGTGTAAACAAGAATCTGGCGAAAATCTGGATCAGTTTGTTCGTCGACTCAAGTCGCTGACTACAGATTGTTCATTCAGGGCAGTTACAGCCGAAGAACATCGTAACGAATCTCTACGTGATTCATTCATCTCAGGTATACAGTCTTCGATGATACGCCAGAGGCTATTAGAACAGCGTACTTTAACTTTTCAAGCGGCATACGATCAAGCACGAGCTCTAGAGATGGCACATCAACAATCGCAGTCATACAACAATCCTGTTACACCTTGCGCGTCCATTTCTTTACATGATGTACCTCATTCATCAGATTCCACACCCTCCGTCAATGAAACAACCATTGCTGCCGTTGAATCCAAATGCTTTTTCTGTGGTAATCGTAGACATCCTCGTTCCAAATGCCCCGCCCGTGATGCAGTTTGCAAAGCTTGTGGCAAGCAAGGACATTTTCAGAAGGTTTGCAGGTCTGCGCCATCTACGAAAAAAGGTCCATCTTCAGTTAACTCTATAATTTCATCTCTCGTTGTGGCTTCAGCACCTCAAAGTCTCACTGATGCTGTTACGCAGCTTACTGTCAATGGGAAATCAATGCAAGCTCTAGTGGATACCGGAAGCAGTGAGAGCTACATCTCTTCCTCAGTTGTTCGTAAGTATAACTGGAAAGTCCATAAGTCTCGAAACAGAATCACAATGGCGAGTACGAATCTTACTAGTCATACTGAAGGACATTGTTTTCTATCCATCTGCTATAAAAACCACACTTATGATCTATTCAAATTTTCCATTCTTCATAATTTATGTGCAGACGTCCTTCTTGGACATGATTTTTTAAAACTTCACAAACACATTGAGATTCCTTTTGGGGGATCAAAGCCGCCTTTTTCTCTCTGTGGTCTACCTTGTGTTCGCGTCGACCTGCCTACCCTGTTTGAAAATCTTTCAAAAGACTGTAAACCGATCGCGATAAAATCCCGGCGTTATTCTCGTGAAGATGAAAGTTTTATTTCCACCGAAGTCAACCGGTTACTGCAAGAAGGTGTTATTGAACCTTCTAATTCTCCTTGGCGAGCTCAAGTTCTTGTTACGTCAAACGAACGCCATAAAAAGAGGATGGTAGTTGATTATAGTCAGACAATCAATCGATTCACTTTTCTGGATGCTTACCCATTACCTAGGATTGACGAAATGATAGAAAAAATCGCACAATATGACATATTCAGCACTCTTGATCTGAAGAATGCTTATCATCAAATTGCCCTAAGGAACGAAGATAAACCATATACTGCTTTCGAGGCTTGTGGGAAACTTTACCAATTTTGCCGAATTCCTTTTGGTGTTACCAATGGCGTAGCTTGTTTTCAACGCATTATCGATGAATTGATCAGTAAAGAACAACTCACAAGCACGTTTGCCTACATTGACAATGTCACTATCTGCGGCAAAACTCAGGAGGAACACGACAAAAATCTAAACAAGTTTATGGTAGCAGCACGCAATTATGGAATAACCCTTAATGATTCCAAAAGTGTGATCTCAAGCAGAAGCATACAATTACTCGGTTATGAAGTTTCAAAGGGGGTTATTAAACCAGATCCCGATCGGCTAAAACCTCTTCGTGATCTAGAACCACCCACAGATATCAAATCTCAACAACGGGCCGTTGGATTATTTGCTTATTATTCACAGTGGATCCCTCGCTTCTCAGATAAAATCCACCCATTGGTAAATAATCGGATTTTCCCTCTTGATATCGAAACTCGAAATGCTTTTGACAAACTGAAAGACGACTTAGAACGTGCAGTCGTTGTGGTAGTTGATCCGAAAGCACCCCTTGTTGTTGAAACAGATGCTTCAGATGTCTCAATTGCAGCTACATTAAACCAGAATGGTAAACCTGTCGCCTTCTTTTCTCGAAGCCTCTCTCGAAGTGAGAAACATCATTCATCGGTTGAGAAAGAAGCCTATGCCGTGGTTGAAGCAATTCGTAAGTGGAAGCATTACCTTCTCGGAAATCACTTCAAACTTGTCACTGATCAACGTTCAGTAGCATTCATGTTTGACAAGATTCATAAAGGCAAAATCAAGAACGATAAAATAATGCGTTGGAGAATTGAGCTATCCCCTTATCAATATGACATCATTTATCGTCCTGGAAGGGATAATCAAGCTGCTGATACATTTTCCCGTAGTTTCTGCGGTTCCTTGCAGTCAGTGTGCGACTTGAAATTTCTCCATGACTCTATGTGCCATCCTGGAGTTGTCCGAATGATGCATTTTGTACGCTCGAGAAACCTTCCATTCTCCCTTGACGAGGTGCGCAATGTAACCAGTAAATGCGTGACATGCTGTGAGTTAAAGCCTCAATTTTACAATCCCTCTAATTTCAAACTCATAAAAGCAACCCAACCTTTTGAAAGGTTAAGCATCGACTTTAAAGGACCTCTACCGTCAGCTAGCCGCAATCACTATCTGCTCACGCTGATCGATGAATATTCTCGATTCCCCTTTGCATTCGCCTGCCCCGACATGTCGTCTCAAACGGTAATGAATTGCCTTTGCCAACTGTTTTCGATTTTCGGTATGCCTTCTTACATACATACCGACAGAGGCGCTGCTTTCATGTCTACCGAATTACGGGCATTTCTTCTGGAGAAAGGCGTAGCAACCAGTCGTACTACCTCATACAATCCTCAAGCCAATGGGCAGGTCGAGCGCCTCAATGGAACACTTTGGCGTGCCATCACTCTAGCATTAAGATCACGGGGCCTACCAACGGCACAATGGGAGTCTGTTCTACTCGACGCCTTGCATTCCATCAGATCTTTGCTCTGTACTGCAACGAACGCCACGCCACACGAACGACTGTTTACCTATAACCGAAGATCGACATCTGGGACAACTCTTCCTACTTGGCTCACTGTACCAGGACCAGTACTTCTCCGGCGGAGTGTTCGTCAGTCCAAATTCGATCCCCTGGTTGAAGAGGTGGAGCTATTGAATTGTAACCCGCAATTCGCTCACGTTCGCTTCGGTAATGGACGTGAAGATACAGTTGCTCTTCATCATCTGGCACCCAAAGGCGAAGATATAGATCAAGTTGAAAATTCAATACCGGAGGGCGACGCAATTCCTGAGCAACAAGTAAATGGGGATGCGACCACTGATCCTAATATTCTTCGTGAAGAAAATACAACTGAAACGAACAACGGGCGTATTCTTTTGGAAAAACAACAACGTGTACGGCCTTACAATTTGCGTACCAGAGAAGCGTGACATAATGGCTCATTCCTTTTCAAGCCGCAGTGAATGTTGTGAACTTTTCTTATAATACGTATCTAGTCATATTCATATCTCTACCGCTATTAACACTCTTTTTTTCCTTTATATGTTTAAGCCATTCCGGCTTCATTGTAAAATGAATAAAGCCTAAATTCTTGGTTCATTCGTCTTTTCAAGATTCAAGCATCACTCATCGTTCTAAGACTCAATCACCTTCGTAACACCCGGTTCAAAGTAGGAGATTTTGTGTGGCACACCATCTCTTGGTGCCTATATAATGATGTGGCTATTCCACTACTTCACAAAGTTATTCATAAGTTGAGAATTTCTCTGGGGAAAAAAAGGCAGACAACTCACTTGAAACATGCACTGCACCATAGTAAATGAGTTCTTGGCTGACGAATACGTAAACCATTCAAACTGACTATATCAAGACCCATGTGAAATAGAACATTCTGCATAGCGAAATCAGTTGTCAAACATGCTACAACATCTGACTGAGCTTTATTTATTGGTTCCATTGAATCTCTAAAATTTCAGAAAAAAGAGTGAGAAAATTTCACACGATATCAAATGATATAATAAGTGAGGATATATACATATATACACACGCCCACACCCACATTGATATGATTATGAGCAATAATCTGTTCCACCTGTGCTTTAGACGTCATTGACTGACTGACTGGTTTCAACATAGAACTTTGCACAGATCTACTGGCAGTTCAAGTCGCCACACTTTACTTAGCACACAAAGTCAGAGAAGAAGAAAGCATAAAGAAACGCAAAATACAGACAGTAAACAGAAATATAAGGCAAAAAGAATAGTAATATCGAAGAACAATATAGTTTCATTTGATATTATACGTCACAAGGATTGGATGCAACTGCGCCAGCCATTGAGAACGATCACTTTGAGCCAGCCATATCACCAACTGTCTTCAGTCTTCATTAGTTCTCGCCATCCCGAGGACCCCAAGCACGAAGTCAGTCTACACCTCCCTATGTGATCAACTTAAAGTAACTGTTGTGGATTTCATTGAGTGATGAAGCCATGTTTTGCTTTGACCACCCACTACCACTAACTCTTTTCCAACCTAATCCATCCAGTGTCAGTAGCTAACATTTCCCATTGTCGAGGAAGGCGATGGATGGGCTAGAGATGCATGCGTAACACATGTCCTAACCATCTCTCTCAGCTGATGCAGCTGTTTCACAACCGCCTCGTTGATTGATTTCTCCTGCCTCCTTACCTAGCACTCGACTGATGCCTAACCTCAATATTGCTCACCTTTTTACACTACTTAGCATACGCAGGAGACAGGACGCAGACACCTATTATCAGAGACGGCTAGCCGCTCCGTACTTTCCGCTTCCAATGTCCATGTCTTACTCTTAGCCAGCCATAAAGGAGGACAGAGACATAACTGTAGCTGAGCAGGACACACGTCCTCTGCCGATAACCAGCCAGCCGGATATCACGTCTACTAAGCCAGAGATGGCGTAAGTTGACAGGTGTAATATGTCAAACGAGTCTTCTGTATCCGTTGGCTCTGGTTGATGCAAATAACTTCCCAAATAAGTGAAGTGAGTGGTCGACACGCTCTAAACAACCAATTCACTTCTCTCTGTTTTTTTTAAACTAGCAGAAGTTGATGTAGTCCAGTCCCTGTAGCATCATTGTGATGAAACTATGTCTATCATCTACTTTACTCGTATTCTATTGAACTTTGTGTTAAACTCTATTCATTCACAAAATACCCCAAATGTAACAAAAAATCCAATTTTCTGAATATATAAAGGTGAACATAAAATTTTCTGTTAAATAAACAAATGTATACACAATCAATCAGATGGTATTGACTATGGGATCATAACTAGGCCAAAGCCTAGAGATTTCTTTCGTAATGAGAAATCAATCGACGAGGTTGTGAAGCTACATCGACTGAGATGGTTAGGACATGTCTTAAGTATACTTAGTCATCGCCTTCCTCAACAACAGGCAATGTCAGCTGACATAGGGTCATCCGGAAGAGAGCTAGTGGTGATCAAACCAAAACATGGCTTCATCAGTCAATGAAATCCACAACAGTTAGTTTAAGCCAGCCAGCCACGTAGGAAGCTGTAAACTGGCTTCCTGATTGGGGTCCTCGGGGCGATGGAAAACAATGACGGCTGGAAACAATTGGTGATATGGCTCAAAATCGTTCTCAATGACTGGCGCAGATGCATCCACCCCTTGTGACTTATGATTTCCAATGAAACTATCATGTTCTTCGATTTACTATTCCTTTGTCTCACACCTCTGTTTACTGTCTCAATTATGCATTTCTTCTACTTTGTTCTCTTGCTTTGTGTGTTACATCGAAAGAGAGTAGCAACTGAAACTGCTGCACATCAGTGAAAAGTTCTATGTTTAAAACAGATAGACAGAAGCAAGATAAATAGAAATATCGTCCTCAGATATCTATCTTAACGCATCCCAACGTATTGTATGGTTGTGTGTGATTGCAAGTGGTGAGTGGTATAGCTGAACTATTCTCTAGACTTCTTATCTTATTTGGGTCAACCAATCTAGATTTTGCCGGTTTTTATGCTCGGCTAGTCTGACTTCCCCTGTTCTACTAGTTTGACCTATGTATTTGACCTGACAATCATTGTGCGTAGGGTATTAGATAAACTAAATTGTTTTGCTTTAAAGGCTCCACAGGACTTATTCTTTAACCGACAAAGCTTGTTTCTAATTGAGTTTGTGGGTTTAAATGCCAGCCACTTTTATTCCTGCCTTGTTAAGAATTCTGCATAAGGTTTCCGAGGTTTCTTTCTTGTATGGAATTGCTACTGATGATTTAGAACCTCGGAAATCTTACTCAGAATTCTTAACAAGGCAGGAATAAAAGTGGCTGGCATTTAAACCCACAAACTCAATTAGAAACAAGCTTTGTCGGTTAAAGAATAAGTCCTGTGGAGCCTTTAAAGCAAAACAATTTAGTTTATCTAATACCCTACGCACAATGATTGTCAGGTCAAATACATAGGCCAAACTAGTAGAACAGGGGAAGTCAGACTAGCCGAGCATAAAAACCGGCAAAATCTAGATTGGTTGACCCAAATAAGATAAGAAGTCTAGAGAATAGTTCAGCCATAGCACTACATACAGTGACAAACATACAAAAAGATGGGATAGGATGACAGTTTTAAAATTTTATGTCATAGGGTGGAGGGAGAGATTGATAACAGAAGCTTTGTTTATCGAATCAACGGCAAATACATGCAATAGGAATGATTCAACACTTGTCCCAAATATCTGGAAAATTGTTCTACCCCTACGACGACAAAGAGAGAAGACAAAGAAAACTATAAAAGCCAAGTCTCAAAGTTTGTTCGAAACTGTGTCATCCAGTAAATAATACTGTTTCACTGTATGATACATCTAATAAACAAACTAATATGGAATTACTTACTGCCACAGTGTCCAAGTTTTACACATATACTAAAGGATGCATATTTAAAAATGCGCATCCTAAATTCCGCACCGCTAGACACCATCCACATCGAAATAACATCAGAAATCGCCGAAGCATCGTCTGTACACTAGAAGCCGACACATATCAACAGCAGCGCAATATTTATTCCGGTTTAATCAATCCACAGGAAAATCAAAATTGACTCAAGAACAAATAATACCTCATGCCTGTTACACAAGAGGTGGCCAAAAAGCATGAGTCTAGTGGATAACGCTTTAGCGTTTGAAATGCCAAAGGTTCATGTCTCAGAGAGAACACATCATAACTTCCTTCCCTGGAGATTGTGCAGATGCATCCACTAGGTACCAAGTGATGAATCAAGTCCTAAATAATAGAATGAAACATAGGCACCTCCTCCTGGATAACGCAGCACCGTTAGACACCACCATTCACCCAAAAATAAACATCAAAATTACCCCCCCCTTACAAACTATGTCGAAAACAGACAGACAGAGACAGAAACATTATCGAAGTGTCCATAGTAAAATAGAAGCACACAGTTAACAGGAGGTATATATATATATGACATTAAAAAAGATCAATTTGAATAAAGAAAGAAGAAGTATTGGCGCAGAAAATAATCTGGATCCATTTTATTTCGTTGGTTCGCATCATCAGCTGAGTACAACCTGAATTTTTTAATAAAATAAAATAAAAAGTGTACAATTTTAACAAACCTTTGTCCGTTAGCAAGCATGTTGTCAGAGCGTCATAGCAAACTAAGGCGTTGAGATTTACAGGGTGTCTAAAGTGTTACGACATATATATATTGTTTGAGAGAAGTTTCTTGAAAAAAAACAGAATCCGTTGTTGGACTTCAATTACCCTGGTGACTCACTTCTTAGTAACTCTTTGTTTTCTAATTTTGTTAACTTATCTTTTCACTCCACCCACCCACCCCCGCTTTATTATTCGCTTGACTCTCTTAAGAGATAATTTTCCTTATCTTTTCATTTCTGCTCAGCGTATTACATCATCAACTTCTCATATGACATCCTGTGCACCGAAATTTTAAAATTTCGATCTTTTCTTATCCAATTACGTAACTATTATTAATTGTCTTTTGTTACCACTCCAACAACACACCTGTTAATTAATTTTTTCAAGAAACTTCTCTCTAACAAGATATATACATATATGTCGTAACACTTTAGACACCCTGTAAATCTCAACGCCTTAGTTTGCTATGACGCTCTAACAATATGCTTGCTTGTTAAAATTGTACACTTTTCATTTTTAGAAAAGAAAGACCGAGCGAATAAATATTTACTTTTCAATTAGATCCTCATCCCACGCTGGCTCTACTCTCAAATACACCTATAGCATTTTTATTACAATACACAACAGTTTACCAGTCATGTAGCACTAATGGGTTTGTTAACAATAATTAGTCAGTGTCAACATGTCAATGCGACGGTTGATAATTAACGAAGAAAGTTAATACACACAATTAAAAGGTGGAAATGGTTAGAATAAATTAATTTTACAAGGGTAACACGTAAATTAAAGATGAAAAGGTCAAAATAAATAAAAATTAAAATAATTTGGACAGTTATAATTTTTAAATGTTTAGGGGGAAGGGGGCGAAGTAGTCCTGTCTATGCATCAGTGGCACAGCGGTTAGGACTCTCGTCGACCATGCACATGGTCCGAGGTTCGACCCCCTGCCGGTGCACACTTGATACATATGGTCGGCCTGCGAAATTTGGGCTACCGATATTACATGCTGAAAATTCCATACGTGTACCAAAAATACAGTGTGGAATCAAGCTGTAATCAAAATAAAATAAAATAAATAAATTCTTGTAGCGATGGCCACGATAGGGAAAGTGTCTGTACAAATTTCTTCTGAACACACAGGTTTGACTTATTCAAGTGGATTCCTATTGCTTCAGCTGTCTGTAGAAGAAGAACTCGCAGAGCAAAATTAAGATAATTCAGAATGCGATAAATAATTTTAAATGCAGTATTCACATCAATCTTATGCTCAGTATCAACGAGGTGGGCTAAAATAGAGCTACGAATAGATCTTGCTGCTTAACCATGCTGCAGGATGATGTTCGGAAATACGATGTGATGAAGCTGCCTAATTGTATGCCCAATGTAGCTGGCTCCACAGCTGCAGTCAAACTGGTAGATACACATAGAGGGGAGGCAAATTTAGGTAGTTTATCCTTATTACTCGAACGTAGAATAAGGGTGGTTGTGAAGAGACAACGTACCTCTGTATGAATGCATAAACCGAACTACTTCGCTCCCCTCCCCCTAAACCTATAAAAATTATAATTGTCCTAATTATTTTAATTTCTATTTATTTTGACCTTTTCATCTTTAATTTACGTGTTACCCTTGTAAAATTAATTTATTCTAACCATTTCCACCTTTTAATTGTGTGTATTAACTTTCTTCATTAATTATCAACCGTCGCATTGACATGTTGACACTGACTGACTAATTATTGTTAACAAACATACCAGTGCCACTTGGTGATTGGTAAACTGTTGTGTATTGTAATAATAAAAATGCTATACAGAATATATTAGAGTAGAGCCAGAGAGAGAGAGAGATGAGGATCTAATTGAAAAGTAAATATTTATTCGCTGCTCAATCTTCCTGTTTTCTAAATGTCTAAATGGGGACTTTTTATGTTTATTTTATTAAAAAACAATTCAGGTTGTACGCAGGTGCTGATGAGAACCAACGAAATAAAAAGAGGATCCAGATTATTTTCTGCGCCAATGTTTTTTCTTTCTTTGTTCAAATTTATAAAAAGGGAATCATTGTATGATAAAAAGATTAAAATATGAGCAAATGAAATGTGTGTGTGTGTGTGTGCGTTCAACCTACGAGAAATCACGTCCAAGTCCAAAGTTAGTCATAGCTTTTTCATCAAAATTATCTTCTGTTATCCAATCATCATCATTAGGTTCAAGAGATTCGGCGTCTTGTTGCGTTTCTTCTTCTTCTTCAGATGTTGTTGCTGCTGCTGATTCTCCTTCTCCCTCAACATCCTCATTATCATCATCCTCATTATCATCATCCTCAACGTCGTTGTCGTCGTCGTCTTCACCAGATATCCCACTTTTTTTATCCGTTTTCGGTACTTCACAACGAGCCAATAAACTAAGATTACTTGGTAACGGTTTCTAGAATGCATGAACAATTAGTAAACACAAAATAATCGAGCAAAGAATATCCTTTTCGATAAATTCCTCTTCTGGCTCTACAGTTATATATATCTATATGTTTATATACACAAAATATTCAAGATTGGTAGTTAATAACAATATTAGTGTTATTTAAATAACATCGATTTGTTAAATAAGATCACAATGGAATTACAGTTCACTAAAAATACTTAAATTATAATAGTAATAAAGGTATAATAGCGAATAGAATATCAACTAAAATTAAGGAAATTTCCACAAAAATTGAGAATCATACAAACCTAGATGGCCAAGGTAAGGACAGTGTCTGAACTAACTAACTAACTTCTTTTGGATGCACAAATTAGGCTTTTTTAATGTGGATCCCAACAGTCTCAGCAATATATTTAGTAGTCGAACTCTTAAGGCGGAGTTGAGATTTGTTGGTATCCGGTAAATAACTCTAAAAGCCTGGTTAACATCAATCTTATGTTCTGTATCCACAAGATGAGTCAGAATAGCGCTACGAATAGATTTTGTTTGGCCTTTGCTTAACCACCACACAGGGTGATGTTCGGAAATTCGACGAGAAACACGCCTAATTGTGCGACCTATGCAACTAACTGTCTCCACAGGAGCAGTTAAATTGGTAGATACATATGGATGAGGCGAAATTAGGCAGTTTGCCTTTTACTCCCGAACGCGGAAGAGGAGTGGTCTTGAAGATACACCGTAATTCAGCAGCAGGGAATGCTCGTTTTAGCGCATTTCTAATGCGCTATGTTAGTATCTCGCTAGTGTTGTCCCCAAGGAAAGAATAAGGCCCTTTTTTGGAGCTGTTGGTAACTTCGGCTGCTTTGGTTATAAATTCATGTCAATAAACTTTTCAGGAAAACCATTCTCACTTAGCAACCGTTTAATATTATTCAGTTCTGCATTAAGACATTCGTCTGAGCAAATCGCTCTTGCTCTGTGAACCAGGCACTTTATCAAATTGCGTTTGTATTTCAAGGGTACAAAACTGAGAAAATGTGTGTACTGGCCCGTTGATGTAGGTTTTCTATAAACACTTCTACTTATTGTCCCATCCTCGTTTCTGGTCATAAAGACGTCTAGAAATGAAATACTAGAGTCTTTTTCTTGCTCAATAGTAAAATTTATTGCAGGATGTACCTTATTAAATTTATCCAGGATGCTCTTTGCTTCCTTCTCGTTTTTCATAATCAAAAAAGTATCATCCATGTACCGACAATAAAATTCGAGTTCACTAATAACATCCTTCAGAGGCCCATTTTCTAGTTTCGCCAGGAAAATGTCGGCTAGAATGGGTCCTAGTGGTGACCCTATTGCCACCCCGTCAATTTGTCTATATAGTTCCTTATTAAATAAAAAGTGGACATTCATTGTACATTTCAAGAGAAGCTCTTTCATAAAAGATATAGGAATACCAACATTGATGTTTCGTCTTTTGAATTCTTCGCATACAAAATCGACTGTTTCCATAAGTGGTACATTGGTGAATAAGGAAGATACGTCAAATGATATCATGAATTTATTGTCAACATTTAAATCTTTTATCCTTTCCACAAATCCGAAAGTACCCTTTACACTGTGTAAGATTTCGACTAGCCGTTTGGCTACAGGATGGTATGGGGAATTTAACATATCTAACACTGATCGAAGCGGCACACCATCTTTGTGCACTTTAGGCGAGCCATATAGTCTTGGTGTAAAAGTTCCAGTGGGTTCAAGGGATGTGTACTGACTCTGTGAGATGAACCCTTGTTGTTTCAGTCGTTTCAATGTTTCCGTTAGCTGTTTCTCTATCCTTTCAATTGGAACGATCCAGAGAAGAGGAAATTTTTCAGAATTTTTGATTATCATTAAGAATGGTATTCATCTTCTCAAAGTAATCCGTTTTGTTCGTGATAACCACTCCTGAGCCTTTATCCGGTTTTGTTATTAGTATATTTTCATTTTTGCGTAAATTATCCAGAGATACTATACGAATAGCGTTTACTGTTCATGTAATAATAATAGCAATCGATCAGTGTTGATTTGAGTCTTTCAACATCTTCCGTTGATGAAGGGGTTAGGCCTTCCGTTTGGGTATAGAGACTTCCGAACTGGATCTGTGCGTCCATTTTATTAATTTTTACATGACTATCACAAAATTTAGGGCCAAGCAATAGAACCTGTAGATCCCCTTCACTAAGTATTACATCCGAAAAATTAAACACAAAACGATTTGGGTTCGGAGGAAACCTTGTTTCAGGTGCCTTGTTCACTAAGCTCTGCTAAAGCTTTATGCGTTTCTTTTCTTTCCTGTTACTCACAATTACATCCACATAATCTAAAAATAGTTTCTTTAGGTTTTCTGGTAATTCATCGACAGCATAGAACCTTTCTGTTACGTTCTTCGATAGCTCAGTAATACACGATTGAATTGAGTCAATTTGGTTACGTGCATGGCGTTTGAGTGTCTTATGCATTAGGCCGGACTCTGTTACGGCGTAGAGATTTCCAATAAGATTTTGGGGTATCGGTTTGTTTCAATACACTGGTGGATAAAGTCAACAGTAGTAGTCTTTGCTTTGCTGAGGCTTTGCGCTATACTTCAAATACTCGTTGAGTACTTTTAACGCAAAATGATGCTCAGAAGATTTCAATATAACAAAAATATTCATTCAGACATCTGTAAACACACACACACACCTTGACTACTTACTATTTCTTTGACTTTCGGTTCCCCAATATACTGTCTATACAATTCATAAGTTAATGCAATCACATGAACATCTGTTGAAGAAAGCACCGAAATATCTCCAGTCCGCTTTGCAATATCTTTAACTAGAATATAACAATCAATATATAATACGAATTAGTCTCTTTTACCATATTTCACAGATTCTTTCTGTGGTATTTGACAATTTATCGTGTAAGGCAGACATTTCATATATTCACGTGTTTGAGGATCTTTAATTTCATCGACAACTTGTGGGAGAGTATAAATTATAGCATTGAAATTCTGGAAAAGAAAAATAAATAAGATTAAAAAACAATTAGAGCCCCTTTGATAAATTTGAATAAGGCATTAAGGAGACAAATTTCGCCGAGAGATGATATCGTCATTTCGTAGTTTCTTCACAACCGCTTTACAACTAGCAACATGGCTAACAATAATAAAGTTCATGACAATTACTCAGTTAAATAAAAAAACAAAAGTACATACTAATGACCAATCATCGCATTTAAATAAGTCAAGTAGTCAGTCCATGGTAGGCGAAGGTTGAAATCTATTGTTTTTTGTACACATAGTTAAGGATGGTATGTGATTAATTTTCCAAAGTCCATACAAACAAATCGATGGTGTTGCGATGGGCAGCCCTCTTGGACCCCTGTTAGCAGATATGTTCATGTCGAAATTGGAGAAACAAATACAAGGTATGCTAGAAGAATTTATGCTATATAAACATCATTATGTAGATGATACATTCATTATTGGTAATAATATTTAGTGTATTGAAAACTTTATTGCTCTATTTAATAATTTGTAAAGTCTCAGCGAGATCCAAAGGAGTAATCCCAACGTTTCTTGTGTTCGGCAATCTGGTCCGAACTTCTTCAGAGAAATTAATCGAAATTAGCATAACCGAGGTTTACATATGGAAAAAGAACATCTCTTATTTTTAAAAACTTTGTCCAATTACTCATTTCAATCTCGTCGAGATTTACTTCTCGGCATTACAATATTTTAGAACTGTTCTGTCAGATCATGACATTTCATTTGAATCTATTTACAATAATATTCATCCGAATATCCGAGTGACTTCCGAACTCCAGTTGAATAACAAACTCGGTTTCCTGGATATAACGATGACTAGGAGAGATTATGGAACGATTCAACGATCTATTTTTTCGTAAACAGACATGGAGTGGACAATATCTTCATTTTACCAGTCTTGTTCCTTTCCAGTATAAACGTTCTCTAGTGAGTAAAATGTTTGTTCTTAAGGGCCCGCAAATTATGTACGAGCGACACATTGTTGAATGAGATTCGACATATACATCCAGTTTTTATTAGCTAATGGTTATCCAGAAAACTTTATCAGTTGTCTCACCAAGGAGAGACGACATCCAAAAAAGACAGCTTCTCTACCAAGGAAAGCTATCTTTATTAACCCACTTACCATTTAAGGATGACCAGATTATGCAGTTGACATCTAGCTCAAAGACTTCGGTCAGCCATCAAACGCACATTCTACGCCGCATCTTTTTTTCTCATTTGCTGAACATTTTCGATCCCTACACCTACGATTAAAGGACGAAATTCTGTGGACTCCACTTCAAAGTGTATCTACAAGTTCACCTGCAGTTGTTGCGGTGACACCTATGCAGGTAGAACCAATAGAATGTTCCAATGTCTAGGTCGAAAAGAACATGTTCCAAAATGGTTACTAAATCGTATAGAAAATCCCAATTCGATTAATAATCTGAATAGAAATCCATCATCATCCATTGCAAAACACATTAATGTCAGGTCACAAAATCAATCAATATTAATGACTGTTTCACAATTATTTCACCACATAACTCTAATTCAAGGTTGGTTATTGAAGGCGATGGAAGCACTTTGTTGGATTAATCACATACGGCCTAAACTGTGTGTACAAAAAACAATAGACTTCAATCTTCGCCTACCATGGACTGACTACTTGACCTATTTAAATCTGATGACTGGTCATTAGTTTTTTTTTTTATTTAACTGAGTAATTGTCATGAACTTTATTATTTATTGTTAACCATGTTGCTAGTTGTAAACAAACTACGAAATGACTATATCATCTCTCGGCGAAATTTGTCTTTTTAATGCCTTATTCAAATAAATAAGAATCAATGAGAATCAAGGCTTACCTCGAGTCGTGTCCTTTTCACAAACGGAGCTGTATCAACGACAATCCGTGTTGTGTACTCATTGGCAACCATGGATAGCGAACCTGAAGAGGCGTTGAATTTAAACGGCATTGTTAACATAATACGAGACCCATAGAAATATAAGCAGGTTTAAATCTTTAAACATTCCCATTATTAATAATATAAGAACAAGACACACATATAAGCGAACAATAGTGCTGTTTTCAATTAGATCTTCAGGCTTTACTCTAATTTACATAGATTTATATGTGAAAAATTTTAACCAATAACGGTGATTTTATGGATCAAATAATAATAATAATGTGTTAAATGTTTTGAACGTCATTAATAACGATGATTATAATGATAATAATATAGATAATAAGGTTTATGCAGGTGCCACTTCTGTGTGTATCTACCAATTTAGTTGCTCCTGTGGAGAGAAAGCTATATAGGGCGAACAACTAGACAGCTCAACAAACATATTAATGAGCATCTCCCTTCACTCAAGGTTCGGATGAGGTCAAATAAAATCTATACGAAGTTCTATTTTGGCTCATTTGATTGATAGTGGTCACCAAGTGGTCAAAAATAGTGCCTTCAAAGTTATCTATCGCATTACATCGAGCCTTTCGAACCCACTTTATACACATACCCGACGCTATGGGAATTAATTCGAGAGAACAATCCCAGTCTTTGCATACCAAAGAAGTTTGTTCTTCCTTTGTCTCTCCCTTGGCCTTTCTTATTTTCCATTTCCGTACTTTTATGATATTTATTTAAACTCTGACACATTGTTCACAATCACATCAAAATAAACTGGTGAGTACAAGTTTTACAACTACACAAAAAAATCTGTAATCAAGTATGACTGAATCCTGCCGAAACCTACATTAGATTTAACAAAAGCATGATTTTGTTTGTTAATTGTCAGCTTATTGAGGGAATATTCGAAGATGTTGGAAGTGTCAGAGGACCCATGTATGGTTAGTCGTCTAACACCTGGGCTGGCCAACAGAGTGAATCTGCAAAATTCGCGTTTCAGGTATCAGGCGATTATTTGGCAAGGTGTGGGGATAGCATTGATTTGTGGGACGTAGAAACTTCTACGAGACTGTGTCTTCGTGAATTAGGGTAGATGTTCTGTCAGTCTGAACGTATCCGTACGAAGAAGGAATGACTGTGCTACCAGCCGATGTCATTTCATAATCAACCGAAGAGGCGGCCGTCTGGAAGAAATAAGGAACCATTTCTACCAAGAAATGTTGCTGGACTCAAATGGCTCAGATTTATTGGTTTTTAGGACTTGCTAAATTAGCTAACGTTTCCAGGAAGCCAATATGTTCAAGAGTAGTACTCATATGAAACTCTGATCATGAAGAACAATGGGAAAAATGAACGATTTTCCATAAGCGAAACAAAAATATCGATATATCTTTTGAATTTAGATCTAAAACTTGTAATTGCTTACCGGGTATACTTAAAAATAACCACACACCATACGTTATTTTGTCATGCACGCCGTAACTGTATCAAGTAACGAAATAGTCAAAAAGATGATTCAATGTCCTATATGTTGTCAATGGGATATTGTTAACCAAACTGACTTCTTTTTCCTTGCTTCGTATCCAAACTCACAGTAATTCTGAACTATATCTAAACTATGCTTCGATTACGCCGTCTTATGGATGAATACTTCATTCAACCAAAATGTATCCAGTATGTGTTGAAGTTACCCTGGTTGTGCTTCAAGAGATTACTGGATTCTTAATTAATGCGAAGAATTCTAAAAAATACGACTTTTAGCTGAAATAACGCACGTTAAAATAATGCAGTGAGTAACACAAAACCCCACTAGAATTCCGGTGGACTAAGAAAACAAACAAGTGATCTGGCTTGATGTTAGTAAAATGAGATCCGTAAGTTAGCAAACGAATAAGTTTTACGCTGCATAAGGGGTGAGATGGCCACAGATATGCGGAAAAATTAAACACGATGGCAGTGGTTTATCTGATAATTGAATACAAATTTCTATCAGTGGCTGCAAATATGGCCATTTGAAATAATGGAGAATATTCGTAGCTCAGTTGGATGATACTGAATTAGTTGCATCCTCACACCCTGGCACGTTGCTCAATCACTTCAAGCTAATGATGGTATATTTGTCACACGGGATCTGCCTCTCCTGGATCCATGTTGTGCTACATGAAGTATGTTAGTCCTGTCGACGTATTGCTTGATGTCGTCATCAATTGGACTGGACCGGCCAAATGTCACCACCTCCAGTGGTGACATTTGGCCGGTCCCCTCCCCTGAAAATTGGGGGGAGGGTGTCTATCGTGGCACCTTCCCTGAATTCACTGAGTGGTGGAACATGTTACATAAATATCTGCGGAGAGTTTCAGTGCATTGTTATTGGGACGCATGGCTAGATTTAGTCAGAGCCCTGGGAGTTTCCTGATGTGGTTTTGTGTAACCTCCCTGGTACTACCGTAGGGTTTATTTGGGGCGTAGCCAATCTTTTTGTTCAGTATCAGTGATGCCCACATTGCTACTTAGCTGTCTGTCAAAGACAGGAGTGAATGTTTCAGCCATTTCCAAACTAGTCAGACAATGAACAAGTGACGCACATGCTCCCTTGGTTCATAGATTTCCTGTCCGACGTGAATGGGTTCAGGCTGCAGAGTTGGCCAGGAGTTTCACGGAAACGTTTGCCTGAAATGACCTCTCTTGTCACTCCTGACTCTTGGATGGCATCAGTCCCTGAGTTCTAGGTATAGCTTGTGATCAGTCTGACAATCGGAGAGTCGCCATGTAACCAAATTTTCTGTTTTGCTAGCAGAATATGCTGAGTACCTCTCTTTAGCCATGAGGATCGTTTTTAGACTGTAGTGTGTCTAGAGGGACGGTATTTAAATCTCTGTGTGAATGACCCCTTTGACCACTTCTCAGTGTTCCTCTATGGGTAACTCAGCCAGTCTGTGGGCCTTTCTGCCTCAGACAAAACTCGTCGCGTTCCGGCAATGTCAGCTTTGCTAAATCACAAATAATGTCGCGTAGCGTCCCGCTAAAAGCGCTGAAGGGGAATGAGATCAAACACCATCACTGCGTAGTCACGACTAGAATATATAGGAAGTCATGATTTTGACATGACCTTTTGACTAATAACCGGTCACTAGTTGAGATATAATTCAGTTGAGATGACTTTCCACTGGGAACCCACCCAGTGTCATCTCAAACGTTTTCAGTCAGTCCTGCATTTCTAATGGTTTGCAGCAGATTTCGACCAAATTTTCCGTGGGCCATCCAAGTCTCCAACTTTGGGGATTTGGTCATAGCCCAACTTTCGTGTCCGCCCGATGGTGCTGAATTGGGCCTGGTCGTGTCCTGCTCCACAGGTGAGTGATCGATCAACTCCTAGAAGACTAGTGTGACATTTGCAAACTTACCCCAACTCCGGCGCAGACGCGATAATCGACCGGCCATCAATCAAAGAATGTGTGTACTGCTTAGCGGTTCGCTCCGCCCCCCTTGATGGATTTGGGACATGGTCACTGAAACTGGAAGACATGAAATGCTGGTTGTCTTCGATGACGGGTATCTGCGTCCTATCTTTTGTGTTATGTGGCATAAGACAGTGAGCAATGTTAAAACTAGGCGTCGAATATTACGTAGGGACGGAAATATATCGATGAGGTTGTGAAGTTACATCGATGCGCGCGGTTAGGATATTCGTTCCGCATAGCTAGCCACAACCTCACTCGATGGCAAATTGTACCTGAAGTAGGATCAATCAGGTGGGAAAAGGGCTTCTAGCAGTCAAAACAAAATATGGTGTCAATGCAGTTGAAGATTGAACGATCAATTCATGGTTGTTTGCTCAAACCTAACTCCTCCATATTTTTCGCGGGAGTCATCCATTCATCAGTCATCGTCTCATCGTTCGCTATTCAGTGGAGGATATAAAACTGTCAGAAGTATTATCGTGATTTATTGTAATAACATTTATTCTTAGATCTTGTGTGTAATAACCTTATTGTTGGTTACATATTTGTGTAAGAATAAGGGATTCTCGAGTCGCCAATCTGTGTTCAGGATTTTTGCGTTGGTTATCACCCATTGTTTCTGAAAGTCTTCGAGGGACAGCGTGAGGTCCAGCGTAGTAAGAGCTGGACATTCACAGTTTATGAGAGTTGGCTGACACATGGCTACATCAGTCAATGAGATCCACAACAGTTAGACTAGGCCGACCACGAGGGGAAGTGTAGACTGGCTTTCTGGTTGGGGTTCTCGGGATGGTAGAAACCAATGGCGGCTGGAGACAGTGGTATGGCTCTAAATGGCTCTCAATGACGGCGCAAATGCATTCAATCTATATGGACGGACACATCAAAAGAAACCCATTTGTCAATGTAGTTGAAGATTGAACGATCAATTCATCGTTGTTTGCTCAAACCCAACTCTTTATTTTAGCGGCAGTTATCAATACTGCAGTCATTGTTTCATCGTTCGCTGTTCGTTGGAGGACAGAGAAAAACTATCCGAAGTATTATTGTGATTTATTGTTATGGCATTTATTCTTAGACTTTGTGTACAATAACCTAATGGTTGGCTCTGTATTGGTGCAAGAATGAAGGGTTCGTGAGTCACCAATTTGTGTTCTGGTTTTTAGAGTTGGTTAATACAAAGTGTTTCTGAAAGACTCCCAGGAACAGCGTGAGGTCCAGAGTAGTAGGAGCTGGACATTAACAGTTTCTGATATTTCTCCTGGAATTATTCGTCTCATTTGTTGTCAGTTAGTCTTTCTTCGCATCGGCAGGTCATCTTTGGACAAGTGTGATTTTAAACCTTTCTGGATTGTTTGGTCAAGTTCAATAATGCCTGGGTCAAAGAAAGGACAAAGCGTCTTGAAAGCAAACAGGAAAGTAATGATAAGTTGCCCGTTACAATTAATGATGTGTGTGATACTATGCATGATGAGATTGATGTCCATGTTTCCCCGTCTAGAGATAATAGAAATATTAAAATTTCTAAATTTAAGCCTGGGTGTTTCGACGGAAACCCAGCTGACTATCCACAGTTTGTAAAAGAGCTTAAAGTCATGATGAGTGGGTTTGCAATAAATGATGAAATGCAGTTAATGTATCTGTTGAGGTACAGCAGTGCTGTTGCTGCGACAGCTATACATTGCCGCAGGCCTATCTCCCCGAACGAAGGATATACAGAGGCCATGAGGATATTACGTCAAAGGTTTGGAAGGTTGACAATGCAATTAAAGATTGAACGATCAATTCTTGGTTGTTTGCTCAAAACCAACTTCCCCAATTTTCGCGGAGGCATCAATACACCAGTCATCGTCTCATCGGTCGCTGTTCAGAAAGAAGTCAGGAGACAACCATCAGAAGTAATCTTGTGATTTATTATTGTAATATTTGTTCACAGACCCTAGTAAAACATTATTTTTATATGTTGGTGTAACAATAAAGAATTCTCGAGTGGCCAATCGGTCTTTTGGTTTTATCGCCCGTTATAAGTAAGCGTTTCTGAGAAATCTTCGAAGAACAGCGTGAGCCCGAGCGTAGCGAGAGTTGGGCATTAACGGTTTATGAGACGTGATTGACAGTTTCTGACGATAGAAACAGATCTGGCGGATTCAAACAGTTGGTGGGAGTTTGGATAGTCGCCGTTCATTTTCCCTGGTGCCGGTCAAGTCCTCTTTGAACAAGCAATATCTGGAACGTTTTTGGAATTGGGTCAAGTTCAACAATGCCTGGGTCAAAGAAGGGACAGAGTGTCTTGGATGCAAACAGGAAAGTAAGTCATTGTGACTTGTCTGTTAATTGTAACGATGTGTCTGATGTTAAGCATGACATGGTTGATGTTACTGTTTCGCCGTTCAGGGATAATAGGAACATCAAACTCCCTAAATGCGAACTTCGGTGTTTTGATGGAAACCCAGCTGATTATTTACAATTTGTAAAGGAGTTTGAGATCATGTTGAGTAGTTTTCTATTAAGTGATGAATTGAAGTTAATGTATTTGATGAGATATTGCACTGGAGATGCTGCAAGAGCTATACAGTGCTGTAAGTTTATGAAGCCAAAAGAGGGCTACTACGAGGCTATGAGCATACTATGTCAAAGGTTTGGAAGACCTTCGATGATTGCAGGGAAATTATTCGAGGCTGTTAAGGGTAATGGTGGTCAATTACAGGATGACTCCCAGGCACTCACTGAGTTTTCAGATAATTTGCTAATTTACAAGAATGCAATGATTTCGATGAATCGCGTGAGTGACCTCAACTCGAGTTTTATACTAGAAGTAATAGCAAGACGCCTACCTACTCGACTGCAAAGGAAGTGGGTGAAGATAAGCTCCCGTATGGAGGATGAGGGTATCGAGCCAAAGTTTGATGATATCCTGAAACTGGTAAATACTAGTGTCAATCAATCTATGAGCAAGTTCGCCAGTCTGTTAGATCTCACCCCTAGAATAGAGCAGTCTGAGGGTAAAACGCACTCATTGATGACGAATAAGCCTCAGAGAGGTGGATATCAAGAAGGCTC